ATGGCGACAGAAAATTTGTTGTTTGATAAATTTGGCTGTATTCTGCGAAGATGGTGATGCAATTGCGGCGGTTTCCATGTATTTGGTGAAAGCATCAACAGCGACAATTATATATTTTTTACCATGAGCTTTATTAAGTGGTCCGAGAATGTCTATGTGTACTCGTTCGAATGGATAGGTAGCGGCGAGAGGTTTCAACAATCCTGCTTCTCTTTCTCGTGGGTGTTTTTTTGTTTGACAAAGGAAGCAAGTTGCAACATAATTATTAATATAACTCGTCATTCCCGACCAATAATATTTACTACGAATCTTTTCGTAAGTTTTGGTTATTCCTTGGTGACCAGCATAAACGGAATCATGGTGGATTTGGCAGATTTCTTTTCTTAACGATTTTGGAACGACCAATAAATTAAAGGATTCTTGATTTTTCCAAATCTTCCTGTACAATAGCGCATCTTTGATTAAAAATTTCTCCAACTTCTTTTTCCTCTTGTTAGAAAGTGAATCATGATTTTTGACATTTTCCATTATTCGAACACAGAATTGATCTTTTGATTGTTCTTCTCTAAATTTCTCTAAATTTAATTCTAATTGTACAGTGAAAGCATGTACTCGATCCTCGTATTCAGCAGTTTCTTCGGGTTCGCCTGTTGGGTATCTACTTAGACAGTCGACATCGGCATGATGTTTACCACTTTTATATTCGATAGTCATGTCGAATTCTTGTAGAAGCAAAGCCCAACGAGTCAATCTGGGTGGAAGTTTCCTTTTAGATTGTAGAAATGAAAGTGCACAATGATCTGTCACTACTTTGAATGTTTTTTGGTCCAGATAAATTTTGAATTTTTCAATAGCAAAGATGATTGCGAGACACTCTTTCTCTGAGATTGGGTAATTCAATTCGTGGGAATTCATTTGTCTACTGGCAAAGGCTACCGGTCTCCAATTGTCACCATGTTTCTGTAAGAGAGCAGCACCGATTCCAGTCCCAGAAGCGTCAGTTCTAACTTCAATTGGTAAATCAGATTGGTAATGAGCCAAAACTGGAGCATTGATCATTGCATCTCTTAGAGTTTCGAAGGCCATTTGTTGATCGTGACCCCACTCGAAATTAACATCTTGTTTTGTTAAGTAAGTTAAGGGCTTGGCGATGGTAGCAAAATTTTTGATGAACTTACGATAATAACCGCAAAAGGCTACAAACGATTTGACATCCCTAACACATTTAGGCACAGGGAATTTCTTGACAGCTTCTATCTTGGTATCTTCTGGGTATTGTCCATCTTTGGTGATTTTGTAGCCAAGGTAAGTGACTTCTGGAATGGCAAACATGCTCTTGGATGGATTTAGTTTTAAACCAGCGTCAATGATTCGATCTAAAACTTGACGAAGACTTTCGATGTGATCATCGAATTTTTTATTGAAAATTAGTACATCATCAAGATATACTAAACATGAATTATATTTTAATCCAGATAGAACGACATCCATACATCGTTGGAATGTGGCTGGAGCATTTGTCAAACCGAAGGGCATCACGTCAAATTGATAAAGTCCATCCATGACTGTGAAAGCAGTTTTTTCCTTATCTTCTTCTTTAATACCAATTTGGTAGTATCCTGACTTCAGATCCAAACTAGTGAAGATATTGGCGCCACAAAGATAATCGAGAGCATCATTAATATTTGGTAGAGGGTAATGATCTTTCTTGGTGATGGTGTTAAGTTTTCGATAATCAATACAAAAACGCCAATCTCCGGTTTTCTTTTTAACTAACACGATAGGTGAAGCCCATGGTGAACATGATGGTTTTATGATTGATGTATCGACAAGCTCTTGAACTAATTGGTTAGTTATTTTTCGTTTCTCGGGAGATACTCGATAAGGTGCCACTGAGATTGGTTTGTGTGTTCCAGTGTCGATTTCATGAACAAATTTATTGGTTAATCCAACTTCTTCGGGTTTGAATGCAAATGCTTGGCGATAGTTCTTTAGTAAAGCGATTAAGGTTTCACGTTGTTTATCGTCAAGTTGTTTACCAATTTTAATTTTTCCGTCTGAATAAGCCATTTCTTCAGTGAGAGTGGAATCCTTTTTAAAGTTTTGTTGAGCTTTGATTCCTTTGTTTTCATCAGTTTTCTCATCCGGTATCTCAATGATATCTTCAGGATGTTTGCTCTCAAAGTTTCCGATTGTAGTTCCGCCGGTTAAATTGACGGTAGATGGGGTAAAGTTACATAATTGAACAATTGTTTCACCACCAACAATGTTAGTGATTGTATTAGCAACACTTATGTTGTTTTTTGTGAAAGTTGAGTCATTAGTGGATACCATATAAGTACCTTTTGGTAAATGTCGCTTATTAGATGCAGTGGCTGTAGTTAAAACTCTTGTTCTTGGAGGTAAAACTAGATCTTTTTTTAGATATAAATTACCATCGAGCTCTTTAAGGATCAATCGGCCTCGAGGATCGACCAGGATGCCAATAGAGGTGTTTACATTTTGTCCAATGAGGAGTTGGATATTAGCAGGTAGAGTTTCAACAATAACAACGGTTGCTCTCATGGTTCGAATGACGTTATCTATTTCTAGACCTAAGTCATAATCAAATTGGCCAACAGGAGTTATGTTGGTAGAAGCAACACCAGATATTGAAGGTCCAACGTAGGCTTCCATTGGAGTGTTTAGTTTCTCAGCAACCAGTTTAGTAACTATGGTTATTTGCGAACCAGTATCAATTACTCCTGCAACTTCGTGTCCATTAAGTTTAGCATTTACTTGAATCAATGGTCCTGTTAATTTGGTGTCACTTAAACTTTCAGAATTGAGCGAAACAATTGTAAATGGCGCTGAAGGATCATTTATATAATTATTTGTTTTTTGATGTAAATCACTGGTGGTAGTACAATAAGTTTGTACATTAGTGTTATGAGACTGCGGAGGCAAATTTTGTGTTGTCGATTGTTGTTGAGAAAAGGATGGTGGTTGTTGTTGCGGTTGTTGTGATTGTTGTCCAATATTGTTCATATTGGGTTGTGCCTGTTGTACTTCATTATTTTGATAGTACTGGTTCGATCCTCTACGTGAGTTCTGAGATCGCTGATCTCTCATTTTTGCACGACAATCCCTTGCAATGTGCCCTACCTTTTTACAGTATAAACACGTGATTTGGGTCCTGTCTCGTGATTTGTTCATTTGACTCATTTGTAAATTAGCCATAGTTTTGACTAATTCAATTAGTTCTTTGATTTCAGGATTTGAAGTGTGAACTTCATTTTTAACGCTTGTTGGGGCTACAGCGGGTAAACACGATACGTCGTAATAACTAGGAAGTTTGTTCTGAGTCATTTCGAGCCCACGTTTTCTCAATTCGGCTTCTCTTTCGGCTCTTCTTATTCGCGTGATAAGTTCAAGATGATTTTTGATACTGTATCTATCTTTGATTTCATAACTGATATTAATGTCCAATCCATTCATACATGTGTTGAGGAACTCATTGAAGGGTGTTTTCGTCTTCAAAGCATAATTGTACATCTTGTTGCAGTAAGCAACTGGATCTTCGTTCATTCCTTGTTTCGTATTGTAAAGGAGAAATTTGTAATCTTGATGTTCTTTGGGAGGGAAGCATTGTATCAAAACTTGTTTGAAAGCTTGCCAGGTCCGAATTTCACTTTTCTTGGTCTCTTCCAACCATGCTTGCAGGTCAGGTCCTAAGAAACAACCGATTTTATTGAATCGATCGTCATCACTCCAATTAGACTGTGTTGTTTGGTTTTCGAAAGTAGATAACCACTCATGAACATTCATGAATGGAGGACCTACAAACGGATGAATTTGTATGGGAGTTTGGAAGGTTCGGTTCATTGTCTTGGTAAAGTCTTCTAAAGTGTACGAAATCTGATTAGTTTCACTCATTGTTAAAAATTGCGGATCCCACCGCTGCCACCAATTGTAACGTGAAAAAGTTACGTAATGAGTGATGAACGAATTAAATAATGTAGAAACGTTATTAGAAGAACTTTAACTAATATAAATGAACTTTATTATCCAATTGTTGATTAAATGATTGTAATGAATTACACAGATTATTGGAATGGATTAACTTGATTAAAAGATGATGACAAGATGAAATCTATTAGAATGTTTTAACTTGAATGTTATGTTGATTCTAAAGAAGTGAACATTCTATTAGTAGGTGATCTGGTTTTATACAAGATCATCGAGACTCACGAGTGTCACGTGTGTGTTATTCATCTTTGTCGGTTAGTAATAAAGATTTAGGTTGATTAGTAATTGAGGATTATGATCCAAATAAAGTAATTGTAATAATTGGTTATGGAAGGAAGTAATCCTAAATAAGGGTTAATTGGTTATTGGTAATGAACGGATTTATCCTTGTACGGGTTTGTAACCAGTGATGAATAATGGGACCGAAATTTACGTTACATAGATGAATATAACGGTTGATGGATATGCTTTTAGCTACAGAAATGATGATAACAAAGATGAAATAACAAGAAGAACAACAATTTAATGTTGATAACGTTATTTTTTATCTTCTATCATTGTTGTTGTTTGGAAATCTCTCTCTTTCTCTCTCTCTCTCTCTCTCTCCCTAGAAAAAAAAATGAAATATCCAAAGTGTACAAAGAAGATGATTTAGATGATAATGATGATGATATAATAACGAAATGATATACAAAAGAGTCGGGGGTCACACTTGGTTCGGTAACAATTCGTAGTTGGTAGAGGGAATTTAGAGTTCGAGAATTTTTTTTTCGCTTCTTTAGACTTGATGTTTATGGATAAACATAGTGATGGATTCAGGATACGCATGTGAAGATGAGATGATGAGGATGAGAAACAATCGATAACATTGGAAGAGAGAGAGAGAGAGAAAATTTCCAAGGGAATGACTGGGAATCATTTCTCTTTCTTTTTTATTCTCTTCTTCTTGTCTTCCTTGTCTCTCTCTCTCTCTCTTTCTCTCTGGGTTAAGATAATATTTTTCTCCATAAGATGTTTTTCCATTGACAATCTTACCCGTTTCTCTTTACTTCATTTTCCTTTTCGATTTTTCTTGATTGTCACTTAATTGTTCAACCGATGAGCCCATTTTTCAATTTAGTTGGTTAATTGTTCAATCTATTGACAACAACATTTCCAATGGCTATTTAACATATTGTGATAACTCATTGGATACCTATGGATCCATTGATTTGTTTTGATTCCTTGTTGTTGTCACAATGTTGTTGTTATTGTGGTGATAATGATAATGAAAGTGGTAAACAAATAATCATTGTTACACTTTAACCATTTAAATGATTGATTGTTGACAAAATGGATATCATAATGTGTCCATCATCATTGTTAATACTTAGTATGATTAACATTCAACATTATATTTATCACCTATTTTCTTGATAATCATCAATTGCTTATTATTGGTGTTGTAATTACTGTTCATCTATTGGTTTGGTTAATATTAATCGACATCATCACTTTTAATCACAATCAATAATATTACATAATCAATCAATTGATTTGTGTACTGCTACTGTTCACAATTTAACAATCATCTTTTACCGAAACAATTTCAATCAATCGTATATGAATGAAGATATTAAATGAAGCTCGGTTTGCTATGCGTTGAGGTGAGTGATTAACTAATCATTTCAATTGTAACTAATGAATTTTGCTTCAATCCAATTTGATTGTTGATCTATGGGTTATCTCAATTTCTTCACCTTTAACCCTTTGTATTAATATTCAATCTTCTAGATGGTAATCTTTGTGTTTCTTGGTAATATTGAGGCCGATTTTCCTGATGATTTACCTTCATCTTGTCCTCGAGATAAATCAAGACTGGTAAGGACCATAATTGATAAGGTAAATAATCATCATCGAATTGACAGAATCGATAAAATTTCAATTTCTGAAAATCGAAAACGAAAACGAAAAAAAATGAAATGATTTATATGAGATTTTTTTTTTGTTTCGAGAAGAAAATATTACCTATTTTTGACCGTTATCGTATTGAGATGCCCATTGAGTGTCCGTTTCATCCTCATCGTGATCTCCTTTGGTGGCCAGAAGATAATCTATCAGCTTATATTTTCGATGGGTTTTTGGATAATGATAAATCTTCACCATCATCAACCTTTTCCATCATCTCAATAACGGAAACTCTGGCCTCGTTTTTCATTTCGATCTGGCGATGTCCACTTTGCTTCAAACTGTTCGACTGCTCTGAGAGATTAGCCCACCACTGGGATTACGATCATAGACTTTATCGTCACCGGGTAAGCCAACATACAATTAGATTTCTAATCAACAGCCAACAGAAAATTAAATCCAACATGAGATCATATTTTAGCTCTTATTGAGAATGTGAAATTAAGATTATGAGGTAGAAATTGTAATTTTCTTCTTGGAAATTAGCTGATTGTTCATTCAAAATCAACGAACAATTAACATCACTATTTATGGACAATTTTCATGATTCTTCTAATTTGTCAATTCATTTCCATTTAGATTAAATTTTTTTTCTTTAAGGTGGATTTACCTTTCAGGCTAATCCATCATCACTTTGATTCACCATCTAAGAAAATAAAGTTTCAATTTAATTAGTTAATCTCTTACATCTTATATCAGTTAATCTTTAATTTCTTTACAATTCAGGTTAATCATTCGCTGTATTACATTTAATTCAATGAAAAAATCAACTTTAATTTTCTAAATTGTTCCCATTTAGATTTCCTATCGTGCTGATTGTTGCTGTTCACAAATGTTTACATATCATGTTGTTTTCTTAATATTATCGTTTAGAAAAGGGAATTAATCAAGAGGGAAATTGTAATTCTTTATTTTTATCGAACCTTTGAGGCCATAAAATTTACCGTAAAGATCATTTTTCCATCCGATGAAGATCAGTTTTAACATAGAGAAAAGTTACCAAGGAAAGTCGATCGTTAATCGACAAAAAATGTTTGATAAATTGCTCGAGGCAAATCTAGAATCCTATTAACGACCAATTGAATATCATGAATGCACAATTAACAAGTAATATGAATTAAATCAATAGATCAATTGAACCAATGGTTAAGTGATGTTAATGTCATCAGAGATTGTGAGTGTTGATTACATTATAACAATTAATTGTTTTGGTGACTCTCATTTTCCTTGATCACAATTGGAAATTAATGTTCATTATTGTATGATTAGTTAACCATCCAAGATGATTAACTAATGATAGTGTCAATTTTCAATATCCACCGTTTTTCATTATCTTAATTGTTTCCATTCAAATGGTTGATTGTGTATTGATTTTCAATTCAACCTCGTAGGTTATATGATTTGTTTTTTGTTCCCACTCAATAAATCATCTTGTTAACTATTATTATGAATTGTTATTAAGAAAAAGAGAGTTGAATTAACTAAATTAAATTAGATTAACTGAATTAGACACGAAATCGTCTTATATTGTTTAGATAATTATGATCAGAAAAAAAAACTGGTTAACAATAGGAATCACATTGTTAAATTGTAAAGTATAATTAATAACAATTATCTGAATGGATAATTGTTCAAATTTATTATCATTTATTATCGTTAAAATTTCATATCAATGTGAATGCTTTTTCATTTGCTAATTGTGAAGATTAATTTGAATGATCAAAGTACCGTAAGGAACATGAATTGTTGGTAGATTTGATTGTGGATAATTAATCTAATTTTTAATTGTATTCTTTTAGACGGAAAACTTTGTGTGCCTCAGTGACTTTTGTGATTTCATCCGATGTGACATATTGACCCGTCGTCGGATCTATCCTACAATCGGTACCTCGAAATATTTGTCCAGAATGATTTCATCAACGTTATCCATCAATTCTGGTGACCTTTCACCTCCAAATTCAGCGGCCATTTTAGGTCCACAAAATTGTAACCAAACGGAAATGATTTCCCTGGAAAAACGATGTCGAATTACAGTTCGACAATGTTTACTTCCGTTGTTAATTAGTAAGATCACAATTAAAGATTTCCACGATATTGAAGATGACCTGGTCAAGGAAGCTTGTGGTTACCTTGATTGCGATAAATTTTTCGACCTCACAATCCATGAGGTAAGAAGATGGACAATTAACGAATTGTCAACCATTTAAATTCAATTAACGCAACAAACTATTTCTCTTGATTCTTAATTACTGACAATTGACAATTAACAGTTTACGTGTGTTTTTTTAATCAAATAACATGAAATGAATTTAAATTATCCTTTCATGAGCTGATATCACTTTTTCTTGATTACAATTAACTGGATCAATTTCTATTATTATTACTATTGAAATTGATCCTTGATTGGTATCATACAATCAGCTGATTCAATGATAGTCATATTTTAATCTAATTGCTACTCTAAATCAAGTGTTAAACTGTGGTGACAATTTGATTGTCAAATCAACACCAGAATTTGATTATGTCATATTTATATCAATACTAATACAATAATATCTTTAATGGTTTGAAATTTTTACAATCGATGATTATCAAATCATTACCATAAAATTATCGACGTGACTTGAAATTAATTATAAAAAAAAAGTTGGAAAAAAATCACTAATCATTTAATAGTCACAATTAAATTTCATCTCAATTTAGCCGAAAGGGATTAACAGTAAATATCGGTAAATGATTTAGTTAAAATCTCGGTCAACTGAGAGAAACCACAAAATTAATTGTTGCTAATTATTCACAATCAAAATTCAAATCCACGAATGGAAACTTTGACTAACAATTTAATTAATTAATTGCACTTGATTATATCCCCAAAGATAATTAGTTAATTGTCAAATTAATCAACCATTTGGAATCAAAGTTAACAATTTCAGATTAAGATTGAAAATCTGATAAAATAAGATGATGGTGATTAAGATTATCTTAATTTGGTTTAATAAATCCAACTAATCAACAATCAAAGTTGATTTTTACTTTTCCTCAAAAATTAAATCTCATCTTTTTTTCCGCCAAATTTTGATTATTATCATCAAAAGAAGAGCAATTGATTATGATTAAATCTAATCAACATGATGATTAGGCGCACCCATTGTAAACTAAATAGTAAATATGACAAGTGAATATCAAGCAATTAACTTTCTTAATTGTGATTAAAAAAACAAGTGAAGATGATCAAAAGTTTGGTAAGAATTTTTTTTCTGTCAGTCATTCAATTTATAATTATGATTAAGAAACAATTTAGTAATTGTATCAATAACAACAGCAATAACAAGAACATGTATTTATTAAGTATATCAACTTACACAATTAACTAATCAGTCAAACGTCATGATCAAATTAACACCAAACAATTAACTTAAAGCCACGATCAATTTAATTCATATTTTCCCCTTAACATAAATTGTAATTGTTGTGTAGCAATTTAATTTAAATCATCTTGAAGATCATGATGATAGTTTAAAGTCTAATCAATACAAATCTAATTTAATTGTTGATCTTGATCAGTGTTGATGATTAAATGATGATTTAGTTTCTTTATCTTTTCCTTAACCAAATTAACTTTTTCAGGTTCTAATTAAAGTCAACACAATTAACTGTCGTCATATAAATACTGGACTAAGGTCAGTTTAGTTTAAATTGTTTACGACCTCAATTGTGTCTGACCATTGATTAATCATAAATAATAAGTAATTGTTGACGATTAACTTTGATTGTTGACCATTAATTGGTAATCAGTTTTGAATTTTAATAATCAACACAATCAATTTGCCTCTTCCTCATATTAGATTAACAATATCTGCTAATCTAGATGCTAATTAACTGGTGATAGTAATTAAATCAACTTAGATAATTAACTGTCAACAATTAAATTAATTTGAGTTAAATGAGAAAATTAAAGTTACTCTCACAATTAAGTGAAATATTTTTTTTTTACTTTTTATTGGTTAATTTCATAAACAATTAGTTAATTATTAATCTTAATTCAACGTAATTGAACTGATTAGTTTGGATACAATTTAAATTGTTTTGCCTTGAGGTTTATTGATTACTTTTTCATTTCTTAAGGTAACAATTAAATTAATCCATATATTGGTTAAGTTATATGAAATTTTATCATTTAAAGTTTAGTTGTAATCAATTAATTAATGCAAACAAACTGAATTAATTTTACCTTGAACTTTATTAACAATTAACTTTTAATTGTAAGATTTTCAATTGATTCTCACTATCAAGAAAATTTTTACCATGTTAATAGATTGCGTGATTAACTGATTAAAACTAAAACTAAATCAATATCATTATTGTTAAACAATTAAGGAACATCTAATCAGCCATAAATGACTGTAATTAATTTTTTTACTCCTGATGATTAAGGTTAATTACAACTGAAACTATCATTCAGTAAAATATCATGAATATATTATAAAGTTGATCAGAGGATCATGATTGTTGACAATCAATTGATTTTATGGAGATGAAGAAGAGAAAAATGATTTAAATTGTTGATAATTAACTAATTGTCATCTACTAATTTCAACAGGAATCAGCTCGACCATTGTCGTTTTGTTTACTCATGGGAATCGTGATGATCGGAGGATTTTTGATCTGTTATTATATTGTTTGGTATCTTTTTGAGTAAGTAATTAACAAATCAACGCAATTAATGACTAATTAACTTGATGATGAGAAACCTGATGATGATTAAATCAATTGATTCTCACAACATTGTTACAATTTATCATTATCATTTACTTCATTTACCTTAACCTAAAGGGACTCAGCGATTGAAACAAAACTTTCACCAGAATTAAAAATCTAAATTGTAATTTAAAATCGCAGTTTAAGTCAAAAAAAAATGATAACGATAATAATAATGACGCTAAAATGGCCTCAGGGGCAGATCAAGTTAACAAAAGCCGATCCTAATCAACTAATTAATGTGATAAATCCAGTTTTGTTTTTTGATATCAACGTAATAGCAACGACTGATAAATTGTTGTTGATGTTGCTGTTTACAATTTAACACACTGATTAAGGAGAAATGATCAAGATTATAAAAATATCAAAGTGAACAATTAAGTTAACAACAACTTATTATCAGATGAACTAAATGTTTCCATAAATCATAACAATTAATATTCAACAGTAAACAAGGAAAGGTCATTTATAAGGCTACTATTGAAATAGTAACACCAACAATCAATGATAATAGTTAATAGCTGGATACATTATAACAATGATAATCATGTTAAAAGGGGGAAGGTTGATCATCATCAAGATGAGGATGATGCTGATGATGGTGATGACTTCCGTTTCCTTTTTGATGGTTCGAGTTGAACAATAGATGAAAAAAAAAGTTGTAGTTTCCTTTTCATTCATTGACTTTTTCAAGTGTAATAAATTATTCATCAACCAAGTTGGTCAATGAATCAATTATCATCATCATTATGCTTGACCACAGTTAACAATAATCAATTGATTAACTTAATTGTTGTTATCTTGTCGCTACTTATAATTTCATGTAAATATACATTAATCATCAGTTAAAGGTCAATCAGTTGTGTGACTTTTTTGTTATCATCAAGGTAATCAAATAGATTGTGATTTAATGCTAATTAAATTGTAGTAAGAAAAGTAAATCAGTTAATTGGTGGACGAAATTTAATCAACTTGACCTCGTAGTCGTTGTTTGACCGGTCATTTCATGTAATCACCCTAAAGCCACATTACCCTTACGACTAATTTTCAACAATCGAATCCTAATTGTGAAAAGAAACTATGATTAAATGATGTTCGTTTTTCACAATTAAGTGAATCGTATTCCTAAAACTAAAATTGAATCAATATTTTGCTTTGAATTTAAATCCATTCCCCTAATCTGTTTACATTTAAAGTATAATCTTAATCCAATTAATGTGATTTTTTTGAGATTAATGATTAACATTAAAAGTGGATTATAAGATTTGATTCGTTGGAGATTAATAATCAATTAGTGATAAACAAATGATGTGAATTAATTGTTGCGGTGAGTATAAGATCAGTATCCATTTCCGGATGTCCGTTGTTGAGGTCAAATTGAATGATGATGATAAAGGATTGAGTTAATTACTTTGATGATCCTTCAGGCATTGATTTGTCTTCTGTTTAATTTTCCTGATTAAGTGTATCAAGTACGATGAACATTTAATTTTAATTACGATCAAACTAATTGATGAAAACTTTTTCTTGATTGTTGATTATATTTTTTACTATTTTAGATCAACAATTGTTCTTAAACGGGCTCGATTGGAGCTGATTAGACGGGAACGGCAAGCGAAAGGAAACCGGCCTCCGTCTTCTTTACGTTCGTCGCCATCACCAACTCCACCGACATCTGATAAGATGACACTACTTCCGGGTTCAGGAGGTCAAGTAAAGAGACAGTGGCAGTTGGTTCAAGATCAATTTTCTTCTAAGGCCGTTGCCAATGCTGCTACGACTTGGAAGAACTATCGATATGTGGCCTCGTCTTCTCGACGTTCCGGTGAATCGGAAACATCTCAAGAAGACGCAAGTCCAGGTTCAAGTGAAAGTCGATACATTGTCACCCATCCAATTGGTAGTCGAAGGTACCAAAGACCCAGTCACCTTTATCTGGCCTCAGAATTGGCTCTTTTACTTGAGAAAAGATCAATGGAAACTGTTCCAGAATTTTCTGATGACCAGATTAGCCCAGGGGTCAACTGTTTATCCAAAGTTTCTTCATTTCCTCCTCCAGCTCCTCCGCCATCTTCCACCGCTCAGTCGACTTATCATCGTCCTTCGTCAGCTGGTGCTACTTACAGATCAGGATTAACTCGATCAAATGTCGCAATAGTATCGAAACAAAATGACGAATCACAAATGCCGCAAGGTTCACAGGATTTTCGTCAAAATAGTTCTCGGTCGATGGTATCAATCCAAAGGGGGAACTCGATGGTCTCTCCAGTACCATCGACATCTGATCATATACCGAACTATTATCCAAGTAGACGACGTGATTTTGCTCTAAAAGGTCGCCATCGAAATCGATATGAAGGAGATGATTATACTTTTGATGACGAAGAAAACGATGAACTGATCACCGCCATCACAACTTCTTGCGTTAATTCAAGTACAAAAAGGCCACAATCCGTTCAGCCAACGACAATCATCAAAACCAACCAATCGTCCTATGGAGTTGTAGTTTCCGATGCTGAGGTTGCAAGATATCATTACGATTATAGTCGAGGTGTCAACTCGAAAGTACCAAATGAATATCGATCAAGTCGAGGAGTTTTATTTTCCACTCGCAACCATGATAAAAGAAGGTGCGAGTTTAATTTTGAGGATGATGATGGAAGATCATCATCAGGCCATAAAAGCTCATCTCGATCGACAAATGAAGCGCCAAGTACTCGAATAATGGGACGAAGTGAAAGAGGTCGATTCAAATTTGATCGGGACTCATCAGTATCCGCATCCGACACCGTCACGACTACTGGCCTGGAAATTGAATCTGAACCAGCAGTTTCGGTGACAAGTGGCCGCAGATTTTGTCGACCGGGAATGGTTCGTAGTATCTCCTCGACCGGGGCCATAAGACGATCGGCGATGATCTCTCAAAGGTCACAAGAATCGCCGATAACGGTCCCAACTCCAACTATACCCACGGGAACATTGAATTCTGGTGCACCTAATCAATCACGTTATCGATTAACTAAATCACAATCAATGGATAATCCAGTTTCCTCGAAAAATAAACAATCAGCTCGATCAACTCATCGTTGACAATTTAAAATTTAAATTATTGGGAAAAAAGTCTAAAATCAATTGAATAACTTTAATTTCAATTGAATTCACTCATATTTATGGACAATGTCCAACAATTAGTTGATTGTGATTAATCATCGACTCGTTAATCACACGACTGATTGTTAAATGTTGATTTTCATCAGCTATGATTAACTAAATTATCATGGAAATTGGTTAATCATCATCAGCTTCATTCCATCATTTAATTGTTCACATGTAAATGCTTCAGATTTTTTTTTCTAGTTATTGATTGTCTAAATTAAATTGTGAGTCTTTTGGCTTCCTTTAATTTGCCACAATTCACATAAATATATAGTACTTAAGAAAATTAGTTAATTGTTACAATTTGTTTTCTTTCTGTAGCTTAATTTAGTTGCAATTAGTTTAAAGTTGTAAATCACTGAGCATATTTAACGATAAATGTTTATTATTAGATGTTAATTATTAGACAATATCACATTTTAATCACTGCCTTAGTTAATATTTTTTGGCTTCATTTGAAATCAACTGAACTTAATCAACTTTTAAATTGTTAACAATTAACTTTCACCTTTCATCTTCATCAATCATTTGACCAAGACAGTTAAAGCCAAGACGCACCAAGTAACAATTAAAATGCAAATACAATTGTGTTCAGCAATTAAAAAGCCATCGTAAACCACCAATGATCAAATTAACTGAGAGATGAACAATTAAAGTGGTTAATTGTTGCAAGTTTTAAGCAATCAAACCAAAGGGAGATCGGACAATTAAGTTAATTTGTCTTTGGCGATTGCAATTGTATCTTCTAATTGTTGGTTGAATATTTTGTCCAAAGAAAATGTTAATTAACTTTTGAATCCAAGTCAATCCAATGGGATCAATTTAAATGTAAATTACAATTAAACGAATGCACTGATTAACTAAATTGGTCAAGAAAAAGAAAACAATTAATTCAAGTTATTCTCAATTAAAGAAAACATTAAACAATATATTTACCTTTTTGTTTATTTTCTCAATTACAATTAAGGAATCGATCAATTTGATTATTGATTAACTACTTCAAGTCACCATTTTCGGGGATAAATTTTCAGTTGACTGGAATTACTAATTACTGGCTAAACATTGATTGTGTTAAATTAAGAATTAATTTTATTTCCTCTATTATTTACATGCAGTGATTAAGTTAATTACAAAGTTGGTGTGATAATGATAGTTAATGGAGGATTGGATATTTAAAGATGATCAGGTAATTACTGTTTTCATTGGATTTTACACTTAGAAAAGGAAAATAGTAATTAATTAACCGAATAGACAGTTAATTGATTAATTGTTTGCATCGAGAGAAAAGTAGATTGTTAATTGTTTACTGTGATCAATGGAAGAAACAAGTTAAATTATGATTTAAATCACGAAGTTTTTTGTTTCATTTCGTCTTTTGGGCGGACATTTTCACGACGAGAGAAACAATCGAGTTGATGAGATGATGAGATGGTCAAGTGATTAACTTTAACATTTGACCTCTTCATCGTGTTAGTCTCATGGTGAGAGGTAATTTAAGTAAAAACCAATGGGAAGAAAAAAGTAAGAAATTAATTAATTGTGATGGTTAGTCAACAAAGAATTACTTTTTTTTCTTGTGATGAGTATTTTATATTTCATATTGTTGACTCCTTGATTAAGCTCCATGAAGGAACTTTAATTAATCACAATCAACTTTTTTTCTAAGTGTAAACCTTGACCTTTGGTAATGGGAACATTTCAAGTTAATAATTAAAACTATCAAAAACTAAGGAGCATCAATGGTAAATCACTTTAACTTGATTGAAGGTTTTTAGTTTGATAAATTGTTGATTTGATTTTCCATTGATTAGTTGCCATAGTCGCAACTCACAAGATTGGTCTGTCCAATTGGTGATTGTAAATTTCCAAGATGATGAGAAGGTGAACAATTTAAATTTTAACTTGATTATTGATTATTTTTGTGTCACAATTAAAAAATAGGCTAGTGATTGAGTTGATGATTATTAGATGAGATTAACCATTTCCAAACCTCGAGCCACAAAATTAGCTTATGGTCAACTTATGTCCGTCAAGAATCAGGGATTAGATTTCGGCTCCTGGTCACTCAAACATCAAATATAACCGATAGTTAGTTGATTAATTGGAAGAAAAATTTCCCACTGAGAAGGCAGAATTGTGATTTTTGGTCACTAATTAGATTTGATGGCCTTTCTTTTGCGAATTATGGTTAATTTAGTGTAAGAACAAAAGAGTAAATCAGAATTAGATTTGTTGATTTTCAGAGCTTCCATTCACAATTAAGGAATAATTTTCCAATAAAAGTCTCGGCAATTTGGATTAATCTCCGATAATTAAGTTAGTGAGATATTATGAAAAATAGAAGAAGTTAATTGAATGAAAAAGTTGTGGGATTGTAATTTGGTGAGGATTAAGTGAATTGGTTATACTAATTCTGGATCAAGATTAATACTGATGTCGTTTAGAAGAAGGAACAATTTTTTCGAGATTAAAGCTGCTTTTTTCATCTTATCAGCTAATTTTCGTAATTTGGAACGTTTTTTATCACGAATTTTTCTGATCTCCTCATCTTTGGCTTCGTTTCGAGATGAGTTCATTTGGAAAGCTTTCCAAGTGTATTTAGGATTCAACCAAAAAGGTCTTACCTGGAGAGATTGATGAAAGTTACACGGAAAAAAAGAAACACAAATTGTTGATTAGATAAAAAAATTAACTTAAACTTGATTCCGACAATGAAATATTAATATAAATGAAGATACTTACTAGATGACGAGCTGGATGATAGCGTTTCTTTTTAGATCCATGATGATTATCATCTGATTGTTTGGTATCTTCATATGTTGAATCGATTGATGATTCTGAAGGTGATGAAGAAGATGATAAATCACTACTTATTACTGGTGAATCACTAGAAGATGATGATGATGAAGGTTCGATAATTAAAGGCGAATCAACTAACTGACATAACTGTCCAGTTAAATTGAAAAGTATCACAATCAAAAAAACGAATGTTAAATAATTAGAAGAGAACATTTTGATGATCAATTTGCCTGGAAATCCAATGATAGTTTCAAGATTCTCAACGGTGAGTCTTGCAGTCTAACCTGCGGGTTTATCTGGTGGAAGAGAAAATAAAAATGAGAGAAGAGAAGAAAAAATGAAAGAGAGGGAAACAAAGAGAGAAAAGTGTAAAAAGATTCTTGTTAACCTGTGAAGTCTTTTTATTATTACTTCAGGGAAGAAGATGACCAACAACTATTCTTGCTCATCTTCATCTTCCTATGGAGAGAGAGAGAGAGAGAGGTGGACAAACACACAGGTGCTCTTCAGTAAATAACAATCTCTTTCTCTCCTTTTCTTTCAGTTTAAATGATTAGAGAAAAGAAAGAGCAAGGTATTGATATATTTACCTGAGAGCACCTGAAAGAAGGAGGAAGAAGAGAGTGATGACCATTTTCTCTTACAGTAATGATAACAAAAGACTTCACAGGTTAACACAAGAATCTTTTTACACTTTTCTCTCTCATAAACACATTTTCTCTTTTTGTTTACTCTTTCACTCGCTCATTCTCTTTGGTGTAAATACCTGATGATCTTCGTGATGGTGATGCTGCAACCGTGGAGAAATTAGCGAAATAATTGGAAGCAGTAAAATATGTTGAATATTTTGCTGTAGGGGGAGAACCATTGACCATCTCGAGCTTTTGTTGACCAAATGTTTAAAATAACATCTTCAAAAAATGTCACTAGAAACCGTCACGTTCAATGGATCAACCGATTCTTTCAGCATCTCCATAGATCTGCAAATAATTTGGCAAATGTTTACATTAACCTAATTGGTTTCATCTCTTGATTTTCACTTAATTACGATCATTTAAAACTCTGTATTTCCTCTTGATGTACCTACGTGATCTCCCTCCATTGAAAAACACTTTTCACACGCAAATTTTATATAAGTTAAAAAACGCGATTGAATTAATTTTAATTAACGGGGAACAATTAAAAACAAAATCTTAATAAAAATTAAAATCTAAGAATTTGATTAACCAAAATTCGGACACCTGGTGCCATCTGCTGTTCTTTTTTCGAACTATAATGTCAACTTTATTCTTTTTTCATCCAAATGTGTGAACATTAGTAAAATGTTGATCTTTTTTCATTAATTGTTATTGTTTAATTATTGCTTTTTCGATTTAATTAGAATTAGATTTTTTTATTGTCACCCAATTTACATCATGACGGTTAATCAGTATATAAAAGATGTGATTTTGGGTTGTATCAATGACATGGAATCTTTATCCAAGTAAGTAGAGTTTTCATTATTTTTGCTTAGTGAATTTCACTTGTCTCTCTTTCTTTTCCTCTTTCTTTTTGTAATTCTCATGTTTCTCTCTCTCTCTCTCTCTCTCTTTCTGTTTTTTTCTCCCTGATTTTGTTTTCCTTTTTTCTCTTTATTTGTCCCAATCTTTGATTACTTTGATTGATTTATTATTATTACTCTTTATTTACCTTTTATGGTTTTCTAGGAGTTTAATAGAAAATATGATTAACAATAAAAGACTTCGCCCCAATTCTGGTCATACAGTTAATTTGACTGAGCTTGGAGATAATTTGGTGGCTAAAAATGGTCAGTTGAAAAAATCAATTAAAACTGCTATGGAAATGGAAGAAATGTCAAAGAAGGTTGATTATTTAAACCTAGATATTAATCGAGCCGATGAGGAGATAAAACATTTGACCAAATCACTGAAAGAAGCTGAACATATTCTGGCAACAGCAATTTATCAGGCTAAACAAAAGTTATCCTTAATTAGACAGGCCAATGAACATCCGGTTCCATCTGAGGAGCTGATTAAATATGCATATAAAATAAGCTCTTGCCATTCGGTTGCTGCTCCATATAATTGGGAGCAGGGAGACTTAAGGAGACCCTATCCAACTGATTCTGAAATGAGATCAGGTTGGATCGGTCAGATGGGAGGTTTTGTGTCAAACATGGTAACTTCGGGTCAACCACAATCTCAGCCCCAACAACAAAACTCTTATAACGCCCAAACTGCCCCCAATTCAACCGCACCTCTTGCTGAAGATCATTTATTTACCAAAGGCTTTTTAGAATCAGTTCATTCATCATCAATAGACTCAAAAGCAACCATTTCCAAAGATAATTTAGATGAAGTTGAAGTTATGTCAACCGATTCATCAAGCAGCTCATCAAGTGATAGTCAATGATTGTCTCTCTTTGAAAATTTACAAAACAACTAATTAAAAAAGCTTTTATTTATTTCATTTAAAGTTTTTATTTTATTCTCTCTCCCTTATAAGCCGATTTTTTTTTGATTTTTTGTTGTTGTATGTGTGTATGTGTGTGTGGTTGTTGTTGTTGTTGTGTTTGTGTTGAAATTTTGTTGTGATTTTAAAGGATGTTGCAGCGACGTCTTGGTTTAGGTTCGGGTGGTTCCAAAGCGGCCAGAATTGCTTCATCGAATACATTTTTCAATCCTCTTTGAGTAAGAGCCGAACATTCAACATATTTAACAGCTTTCAATTCTTTTGCTAATTTTTCTCCTTGTTCCAGAGTAATCGGTTTCTGCTTGTTTTTAGCTAACTTTTCAACGGTCGCAGCATCATCTCGAAGATCAGTTTGTGTACCAACTAAAAGGAAAGGTGTTTTTTGGCAATGATGGGTTATCTCGGGTACCCATTTTTCTTTAACATTTTCAAATGAAGAAGGTGATACAACAGAGAAACAGACAAGAAAAACATCGGTCTGTGGATAACTTAAGGGCCGCAATCTATCATAATCTTCTTGACCAGCAGTATCAAATAATCCAAGGGTGTAAGGTTCACCACCGATCATAACAGTGACCGCATAATTGTCAAATACCTAGAGACGGGTGGGTTAACGGAAAAGGAGAAGAAGAACAAGTCAAACAAAAAAAAGAGAGAGAGAGAGAGGAAAGAGTAGAAAAGAAGGAAGGATGAAAAAGGAAAGAAAGAAAAGAAAGAGAGTAAAAAGAGGAATGTGATAAAAAAGTAGACCAGCAGAGTAACAATGTTAAAGGAATACACTTACTGTTGGAACATATTCCGATGGAAACTTATTTGTTGTGTAAGAAATTAAGAGACAGGTTTTACCAACCGCTCCATCACCAACTACAACACATTTGATTGTTTGCATAATTAATCAATTCCAATTAAATAAGAAACACAATTAGAATAAAAGACAATACAAAGGAATTCAGGCCTTTCATCAAAAATAAATAATAAAATGATGAGCGATATTTCATAAACCAAATTCGATAAAAAATAAAATCGATTGACATTCATTCTAAAGATGGAATTCAGTTGAAATCGATTTTCAGGTTCGAGTTCCAAATTCTTAAGACAAATAATCGATCAATCGAACAAGAGACAGACAAGTAGACAGAAAGAAAGTAGAATCAGTTTCCTGATGTTCCATTCGATGATCGAAACAAGTGGCGCCATCTCGTGGAAAACTTGATGAGCCTCAAATTGGAAATCGATTTGATGACAGATCGAAAATCGCAGATCCCAAAGTAACGCCCTCTCACTTTGGGTGTGTGTGATTGAAAGGTTGTCCTGAGCTCCAGTAGATGGCGGGGTCAACACATTTTCTACTCCGAAAGTTTATCAAGTTTATTGTCCCTCTGGTGGGAATATGAGTCGACTGAATCGTAAAGTCAACAAACAGTTTCAACTTGATTTCCATGAGTTTTTTTGTCTCAATCTCTCAATGAAACAACTTCACATAATTTGATTCATTTTTCTTTTATTTTTCTCTTTTGTTTCTTCTTCTTCTTCTTCTAATCTTCTAACTTATATTAATTTATTACCTGATAAAAATTCTACTACTAATTTAATAGACTTTCATCATCTACATCATCGTTGTCACGTTTTCTTTTTGATTCCTTTAACAATTACATTTTTCACCCAATCAATCAATGAATTAACTGTCTAATTTTGGTAACAATTAGAAATCAACAAACAATCCAAAGTGTTAAAACCAAACAAATAGGTTTTCCCTCATTCATCTTAATCAGTTAATTGTTATCTTCATAATGGTGTAATTTAAATATTCTATTTGTGGAAAACAAACAAAAAAGAATTTCTTTTCTCTCTGTTTTCCCTTTTTGTTTTGTTCTTTTTTTTCGTTTGTGTGTTCATTTGAATTTATCTTTTCCTCTAAAATTGTTTATGCCGTTGGTTTTATCGAATTCTCATCTCGTTGATCATCTTTCATCTTCATCTTCATCAATTCGCCTTCGTTAACTTGAATATGCCTCGTCAGAAACAAGATCGACCCAAGAGGACTAAATGTGAGTAATCATTTTGGCCTTTTACTTATTTTATTTGCTTTGGAAAAGATGATTATTATGATGAAGAGAGAGAGAGAGAGAGAGAGAGAGAGAGAGCTGATAAAATTGATGAGAATGATGAAAGTGATTATGATGATGGAAAAGTAAGTTGAGAGAGAGAAACGAAAGAGTGAATTATGCGATAACGAATCATTTTGGATTGGCAATAAATTGTTGGGTTATCCTGATGATGATAATATAGAGAAGAAGAGAGAGAAAGAGAAATGATAGAGAGATGATGATGATGAAAAAGTGAAAGTGTATTATCAGTGAATTTCAGGCATCCTTACAAAAGGATAAACCCGCATGCACATCATCACCTTAAACATCATTACTCTCATCATCATTATCATCAGTATCAACATTGCGCCCTACATAGGATTCATCATGACTCCCTCCTTCTCATCCTCCTCCTTCTCTATCACCACTCTCCCTCCCTCCCACCCACTCCCTATCTCTCCATCTTTCAATGCTTATGTATTACTCTTCACTCTATCTCATATTTCCAGCTCCTGTCACCTTTTTTCTGTAGATAAGCAGCGATTCTGATGATGATGATGATGAAGACCATCATCATTTTTATCATCATTTTCTTTCTTTTCTTCTCTGTATTATCTTCTTTTCTTCTTCTTTCATCCCTATCTTCATCAATCTCTATCTTTATCCTTTTTCATTACTCTTTTAACATCATCATCATCATCATCTCCTCTTTATCTTTCTCTCTCCACCTTGAACAAAATATCTATTACTAGTACTTGCCCTGTAAATTCTGCTTATCATCATTATAATTGAAAATTTTTCACTTTTCTTGCTCCCTCGCCATTATCTTTATCATCATCATCATCAAGCCAAAGTTATCATTTCCTTTCAATTTCTCATGATTAGCATCATTATCATTTAGTATCATTTATTGATCATCAACACTTTTAACTTGGAAATTTATTTTTTTATGATTTCTTTCAGTCATTTTGGTGACTCTCATCATTATCATCATAATACAATCTTACGAACTCATCTTCCTTATCATCACTATCTCTCTCTTTCTCTCTTTCTCCTTAACTTATGATCTCCTCTATCAATTTTCATCTCTCTTTTTTCTGGACTTTTAACTGTTGATTTTACCTTGATAACTGATAATCATACTGATATTCTGCATTTATCCATCATTTTGAATGTATAAAATTATCTTCCATTTATAATATAACAATTTTCCAAAGTCAACAGATAATATAGACTATAAGGTGTGACCTCTAAAAAGTGACCTTTTATCTTCTTTCTATATTTTCTTACCTTCAAAACTTACTCTGCTTTCCTCTCTCTCCAATCAGCATCCTCATCTTTCATCTTCTTCCTTCCTTACCTACCAATAAGATTAACATTATCATCATTATCATTTAGACAAAAATCATAGGTAAAAAAATATAAACAGATACAAAAAGAAGACAAGATAACACATCATCAATTCCATCATCATCATCATCATCATCATCATCACCAGTATCATCTTCATCTCCTTTTTATTATCATCTGAATTGAACTAACTTTTTTTCGATATCTTCGATTCCTATCTTAATGGCAATTGGGATGAAAAGTCTTTTCTATCTGCCTTACTTTGAATTGTTTACTCATGATGATGATTGTTGATAGTTGACATTGGCTACTTTTATCATCATAATCATCTCTCTCTCTCTCTCTCTCTCTCTCTCTCTCTCTCTCTTACTCTTATTTTCCTTGTTGATGTATTCATTGTGATAACAAAGTGTTATCAGGATTAACCAAACCATGAAAATAACTTTGCAACTTTTGCAATCAATTGATTGATATCATCAACTATCAACAATCAACTCCCCTCTAACCATCAACATTATATTATCACCAAAATAATATATAATAATCAGTATTATATCAACCAAAATATTATCAACTATTACAATCAATAATCAAAACCTTCCAAGTATAATAGATGATCATCCAATTTTCATCATTATCTTTCATCTTCCAATCTACTTTTATCTTTTTCTTTCTCTTTTCATGATCAATTTCATGATGATGATGATCACAATCATACAACCAGAATCATTACCATATAAATATAACTAAATATAAAACATTTATGATACAGATAATTATTCATCAACTTAATTGATTATCTAAGTTATGGATTTTCAAATCTAATTGTAATATCTTTGCAAAAGAAATCACTTTTTTTTCATAATATCCAAAACTTAATCACAATTAATCTCTTTTTCTAATCATAATTTTCTATTATATTTTTTTCATCTGTAATCTTAATCATGATTTTTCCCCAATCGAAAGTGATTAACATGTGACTTGATCGTGTTAACAATCAAGCTGATTGTTATCGTTATTATTACCATTATGATTAGATGGTTTTTCTGTAAATAGGTTTTCAGTCTTTAAACGACTTGATAATTTATCTTGATTGACTTTCATAAATTACGAGCTTGATAAAACTGATTTGATAATCGAAAACCTAACATTGACTTAATTAACTTCATCTTTTAATTGTTAATCTTAGGTAAAAAATCAAATTATAACTCGAGGCATTAAGATTTAACAACAACCTTCACCCTAATCTCTCAATATCAAATCAATATACTGTCCAAATCCATTTGGATTATCAAATACCAAATACTTAATTTCTTATCACTATCTGATTATTGGTCTACAATTAAAAAACTAACTTTTCAAACTGATAGAGATGATTAACTAATTACCAGCTAATTGTTGTTAAACCAAAACCACAATTGTAAACCACAATTATCGCAACACAAATCTAACTAATTTGTGTTTTTCTCTCTCTCTCACTCTAACTAATCACAATTAACTTTTTATCCTCAGGTTGTCACTTAATTAATATACAATATACATTGTGCTCCTTTAATTAGTTCCGTTTTCTGGTAACCATATTAAAAGATTTATCAAGATTGATAATAATAAATATCCACAATATTTATGTACATATATTGCTATCAAAATGTGTTGTTGTTGTTGATTGTGATAATAAATGATAAGTGATTTAGATTAATCTTCAATTATAATCATATTAAGCTTCGTTCACGATTCAATCCCGTGTGAATTAATCTCCTCTATTTAATCATTCGTCTTTTATTACCCACTGCTACCTACTACCCACCTCCACCTTCATCCCCACCAACACCAACACCAACACCAACACCACCTCCACCTTATCATCAACCTCATCTTTCTTCACCTTCTTTTGATCTTTCTTATTATTTATTGATCTTCTTTTCTTACTTTTGAGATGATGATGATGAGAATTGATTTTTCATCCTCTATCTATATAAATACTCACATATTATACTGATTAAGATGATGATAAATTGTTGTTAACTGATGATGAAGATTAAATCTTCCTCATCCCATCCTCCCAATTTTCAATTTCTTACACCAGCAAAAAAAAACTTCAAATAACAACAATCAAAAGCTTGATTATCATCGTAATCAACCATATCCATGTATATTATCACCATTAATTATCACAATGTATACAGTGATTAATCATACAACTAAATCAAATCATCTCCAATAATCAACTGACAATTTTATCAATTACTAAGTATTAGTTAAATCAATTGTTAAAGTGATGATTATTGTTTTTTTTACTCAATCAATTAATCATAAACCTCTGAACATAAACAATAAAACTATCACGATGAACTAAAAATAATAAAATAAAACTCGAAAATTAAATCAAACTAATCATGATTAACAATCTATTTTTCCTATTAAAATAATTGACCAAATAAATGGCCATTAGATGTCATCCTATGTTAATTATTGAATTTTAAATTAAACTGAATCGGATACATGTAACAATCAATTGTTATTTTTAATATTCTGAACAATTTTACTCTAAATAAATTATCACTATCTGTTAATTATTGTCATTATCCCTTGTTAATCAACTATAATATAAATTGAACTGTTTTTTGATTCCAAATGCTGATGATTTGTTGAGCTTATCATGATTCTGTCTTCATTTATCTTCATCTTCTGTATATGTGGTTTCTATCTGTTTCCGGTTAAACTAGATTATCAATTCTGTCCAACATCCTCTGAGTCTCTTCCTCCTCTTCCACCCACCACCACCACCATGTAGGTGATAATGATTCCTCTGTATGTAACTGATACGTTTGTTTGTCCAATCATTTCCTGTTTCTCCTTTCAAAAGCCTGAAGCTCATAATTATCAAAAAGTAACCAAAGGATAAACTCATGAAGATGCGGATGATGCTGATGATGATTGTTACCAGAATGATTAACGAATAGTGAAAAACTATAATAATCATGATATAGATTTTATTTCAGCTTCTACTTTCATTCATTATTATTATCATGACTTTTTAAATCCTAACTAATCAATTCAATTTAACTTTTCATTGTTAATTATTTTTAAAATAATATACAATCAACTTTACCGGAAATAAGTGACACTTGAATATCATTTATATAAATTTTCATGTATATCTTTTGATTTCAGAGTTTGTTAAACAATTAACAGATTAGTTGACAGTTAGAAAGTTACAGTTGATTTACTCTGATCCAAATCGGATTAACTATTGATGTTTTCCAAAGCTTAATAACTTATGAATCAATTTACTTTTACAATTTAATTCATTAAACGAAAATGAAAAAAAAAATTCAATTACAATTTTTCGTTATTTAATTTGATTTAATTTCTTTCCTTTTTTTTCTTGTATTGTTTTATCCTGATTGCAATTGAATTAGTTGATTCAGTTTTGATAAATTCGTGCTCAAGATGATTAACTTAGTATAGTTATTACATTGTCTCTTAACCATATGATTGTTAACAATTTGATTGTTATGATTATTATTATGATTATTATTTTGTTGATTATCTTGATCAGTTACAATTTACCAACAATTTAATGATAATAACAAATGGTAACAGAAATT